TTGAAGAAAATGAGAGTTGAACAGTGTAGTATAGAAAATTGAAGTAAACAGCCTAACATTCAAAATTTAAAATTCTAATGTAAGTTTTTTACACTATATTATATGAAAAAAAAAACAATTAAAAACTAACATATTTTTTAAAAGAAAATAAAGTGAATGAAATTTAAACTTTGATACAAAGACAAATATAATTACAAATTACATCCTACAAAGACAAAGATTAAACTAGACTAAACTCTATAATTATAAAATATGCCACACTGTATTCTAAATCAAACCGTACTCTATTATACTCCCCTAATTGTTATGCCGTGGAACTATGTCCACCTTGCAAGATGGACACGGTTCTATGTTAATAATTACTGAACTCTATATTCATAATTATAAAATTCTATGTTCATAATTTTTGAACTTCATATTCACAATTATTGAACTCTATATTCACAATTACAGAACTCTATGTTCATAATTACTGAACTCTATGTTCATAATTTTTGAACTTCATATTCACAATTATTGAACTCTATATTCACAATTATAGAACTCTATGTTCATAATTTTTGAATTCTATATTCACAATTATGACAATTTTAAAATCGTGTCCACCTTGTAAAGTGGACACGGTTCCACCGCATAATTTGCCTATTCCCCCTTTAAAAAATAATGGAACTTGGACCGGGTCAAACTAACTAGAAAATTTAAATTCAATTATGAATAAAATATAGTAATTAATATCACTGTTGTAAAAATCGCGCCTAGGCGCCGACCGACCGCCTAACGTATCACTATAATCAGTGGTCTAGGCGGCCGACTAGGCCCTTTAGGCACTGATCACCTAGGCTACCTAGGCGCTGACTATGACACATAGTCGGCCGGCTAGCTATTGTTCCTTTGTAATATTATCTAGAAATTAATATGATTATATGAATTTATGATTTAAATGTTGAACGAAGAAGATTGTAATCTAAGCTAAGTTTTTGTTGATGATTTATATAGACAATATAATCGAGTAGACTGATTCTAACAAAATCATACTATAGTAGATCAAGTAAGTAGTATACACAGACCAATACAATTACAAATGACATCCTAAGGCAAAGATTCAATTAAACTAAACTAAACTCCATAATTATACAGTATAATCTATTCTACTCCTTCCCCTTGAGAAAATAAAGGAATTGAACTTGGGGTAGGTGGTAGATTGTTAGTTACATGCACCCCTCCATTATCATGTTGGAGCCTGGGAGTGAGGAATTTCTTTTTAAAGAATTGGGTCAAATAATTCACTAAAGATAGAGGTTCAGAATCCATAACTCCTAGCGTTGTCGTTGTTCAATTCCCAGCAGCCGCAGCCGCAGCCGCAACGTTTTTGGTTAAGAAGGCCGGGAGTGGGATGGAGCTTGGTGGCGGCGACGTGAAGAAGGACCATCCAGCGTAACGTTCTTCCATTTTCGGCGCTTCACCAGCTATGCCCTTCTCCTTCTTACAGTTTTTGTAGTTCTTCTGCCTCGGATTCGAGCTGGACAGACTGCCAAAACCTCCACCTCCGCTAATTCCATTCTTCTCGGAACTTGGCTTCTTCCGACACCACTTCGACGCCACAAAACGGTGGTGCTCACTACCAGTACTCTTCAACGGATCACTCGGATGAAGAACTCCAACCCCCGCCATTGAAAATTTTCAGGAGAAAAACAACCACGAGTTTACGTCTAGAAATGAGACTGTAATCACAGTGAGTATCTATGGAAAAATCTAAGAAAGCAAGGCGGAGATTTTATAGAAAGATTATATCTGGATGCGAGCGGAGTGCTATTTTTCCTAATTTGACTATGAAAAGCATTACTATTTTTTCCTTGTCAAACAGGGGTTTACTTATTTATTTATTTCTAATATAAAGAAAGGGAAAATGGCACTTTTTCCCCCTGAGTTATATACCTATAGCATTTTTTCCCCCTAAGTTATTGAAGTGGCTGTTTTTCCCCCTGAAATGTTAAATGGACATATTTACCCTTAAACTAAATATTTAATTTATTTTTTTCTCCAACAAATTATGACTATAATTTGGTTCAAACTAAACAAACACTATAGCAACCAAACCGAAATATTCCAATTACAATTTAGAATCGAAATTCGATATTTAGAGTTTATTAAAATCGTGAACCGGAACGGACGGTTCATGTTCCGAAAAAAAATAAAATACATTTATTGTTGAATTTGGACTATTTTAAAATAAAAAATAAAATTTTAAAATAAAGACGGTTCAAAACCGCGAATCAGATCCGGAACCGCCGGTTCACGGTTCAAGATTCAATTTTTTGATACATAATTTTAATAAATTGACATTTAAATATTGGGTTCTAGATCTGAATTATAACCGTAAACTATTAATTCGATTGTTTTAGTATCCGGTTCAATTCAAATCGAACCGTGGTCATCCCTACGTATACACAATAATTTGTTGGAGTAGTAAAATAAATAAAATGTTTACTTTAAAGGTATAAATGTCAATTTAATATATCAGGGGGGAAAAAGCACCACTTTTATAATAATTGAGGGGGCTAATGTGCTTACCTAAATAATTGAGGGGAAAAAAGTGCTATAAGTATATAACTCAGGGGTAAAAAGTGCCATTTTCCCATAAAGAAATCTAAAAAACTTTAACTGAATTTAGGTTAATATCCTTGGCTTTTATCCCTACTTCTACATTTACTTCTTTTTATTTTTTTTTTTTAATATTATTGATTGTATTACATACCAATGTGTTATATATATTTATTTATATTATTTATATTTGTTGCAGTTTAAAAAGTCAATACTTATTTAGTTACTAGTTTTACAGGCGCATTGCGAGAATGAGTTAATGCCCAATATTTATAATTAAATATATATTTGAATTCAATGTAATATAGGAGATTCATTATAATTGTTATTAAACTTTTTTTTTTTAAATAGTAACCAAGTATTTTTGTTGCAAAGGGTTCTAATATATTTAATAAATGTATATATATACAAGATCAATGAGTGAATCAACAGTACCAGTCCTTTAGGTGTTTTGCTTAGTGTTCATTTAGTTCAACCATTATTGTTAAATAAATTATTATGGATGAAGAAATTCCTAATTTAAGGAATTTAGATGTAGTAAAAATTTAAAAATTTTAATTATAATGTAACCCAACTAAAGATATTGGACGATTGGTAAATATGATGTAACCCAGAAATCAAAATGCTAAAGAAACTATTTGGTTATTCAACAATTTGAAACAACAATTTGTTACAAACCACTGAAAATACAAATATTGCAATTTACAATATTTTCACTTAGCGTTTTTGAGAATGATTTTCCAAAAACACCTCTATATTAAAAAAAAAAAAAAAAGTCTACTATAGAGCCATTTCGACTCATTGAATAACAATTGCCAATTTCGCTGACTGCTTGCCCATCAACGGATATACTTTAAAATACTTATTTAAAAATAATCGTTGTACATTATCCCATTCGCGCAAAGCGCGTAAAAGAACTAGTATTAAAATACGGAGTAAATATTTTTATTTGGTGTTTGCGGTGGGGAGGACAACAAATTATGCAGTGAAACCGTGTCCACCTTGCAAGATGGACGTGGTTCTAAAACTAGTTTTATATGAAATTTAAAAATTATGAATATAGTTTTATAATTATGAACATATAATTAATATAATTATGAACATAGAGTTCTGTAATTGTCAATATAGAATTTAATAATTATGAATATGAAGTTCAAAAATTATGAATATATAACTTTATAATTATGAACATATAATTTAATAATTATGAACATAAAATCATGTCCACACAAGGTAGACACGATTTCACTATTCCAAAAAAAGGCTGAACCCCAACCTTAAGGGCCCCCCACACCCCGGCCCGACAGAGCATTTGGGAGGATGTAAATCATGGTGACTCAACCGAACATGAACCATAGAGGCTAGACCGGTGCTCACTGCGCACAAGGAGCCCCCCTTACTTTGAGAGGTTGCTCCCACACTGCCGCTGGTGAGACTCGATCCCTGGTCATTATTCCAAAGTTTCACCTCTATGACCAGTTGAGCTACCCATGCGGGCAGGTAGACACGATTTCACATCCTAACGATTGATGGAGGACCTAATGGGGCGGGCTGGCACACTTGGCTTGACCCGTTGTCCAAGTCAGACAGTAGTATATTAATTCTGCAATTCTTCATTCCTTTTACTTAAGTCTTCCTCATCCTGTATTTCTACATTATCTCCTGCTTATTCTTGTATTTTAAGATTAATTCTTGTATCAGTTATTCGATTCGCAGGCTTTGATTTCATTGGTGTCCTTTGTGATTTCGCTCAGGTAAATTCAAGCCCATCCCCTTTTTTCCTTTGAATTCATATGAATCACTTCTCTGATTTTATTACTTCATGCTATTTTGCCCTGTTTTATCATGTATGGAGTCGAATTTTTTCCAGTTTTTTCCTAAACCCTTGAAGTAGTATATTTAGGAAAGCATTGGTGTTAAAGTACTGAAATATGGGAAAATATTAGCTTTGTCAACAATTGTATTTGCTCTAAGGAAACAACTTATTGCAAAATACCATTTATGAGAGAAGCAAAAAATTGAGTTCATATCTGCTTTAGTAATCCTCCAATATTCCACTGTGAACTGGGTAACCATTGCCATGCTTAACCTTAGGTTGGGTATTGATTTAATTATTTTGTAATCAGAGTGAATGGCTACTGAAGGAGGTAAACCTGAGACACAAACCTCAGTGACAGCTTCATGCCGGAAGAAGAAGTCTGAAAGTGCCACTTTTTTAGAGGATGTGAGAGATCATATTGATGAGTTCATCCATGCTTCAATGGATGAACATCAAACCTGCTTCAAGAAAACTATCCAGAAGGCTTGTTTTCAACTTCTAATTATCTGAGACTGTTACTATAATTATATTTGAATTTAGAATGTGATTGCATTGTTATTGATCCTGGATAACAATTCTTCTCAGATGTTTGGATTGTCGAAAGTTGTTGCTGAAAGAAATGCAGAAGTGAAGGAGGTTGAAAGCAAACTTCCACTCCGAACAGTCCTATCTGAACAGTAAATTCAGAGCTGCAATTGGAAAAGAAAATCTTTAACTAAATCTTTTCTTATGTACTCTTAAGAGTTACAGTGACTATGTCCTTCTGGCCAATTTTATACAAGCTCCTGGAGATTCCTAGATTCAGCAAATATGACTACTAGATTTCTTGACTTTAGGAAATCCAATGGCAATTCTGTCCTTATAGTGACTGAAGGAACTATGTATCTGATATCAATATATCATCTCATAGTCTTCTATAATTTCAGATGGCTTAGGTAAAATTTACCTTCAGTTGACCAGGGTTTTTTTTTTTTTTTTTTTTTTTAATTGTTTTTTAAATTTTTAATTTTTATTTTTTTTATGGATTTGCAGAAGGAGAGTCGATGGGTGTTCCTCAACACACTATTCTCTGCAGGTATATCAATTCCTAAGTACATGCTCATTGCTCTTATAATTCTATATATTCATTTCCTTCTGTTCTTTATTTTCCCATATAGCTTTAGCTCTTGCCCATCTTTATGAAACTCTCTTTGGTTATTGTAAGGGGAAAAGTGTGAATAAGTCAGAATCAGAATGTACAAAAACAGGATAATAACAGGATACAAAAACAGAAAATCAGAATCATTTTACAATGTTTACGGCTAATAACATTAAAGGATGAGTTTCCTATCAACAAAGATACTTTCAAATCAAATGAGTTCCTTCCAGCTTTAGTCTAGGGAAGCGTCTAGATCACCGTGTTAAGAAAGTTCATTCTTCTGCAGCAGGTTTGATTTCAATCACTTAATTTGTCATGTTTTATGTTGTGATAGTTTCATATCTACAACTTTAATAAAAGCCAATATTGTTAGACCCAGGAACTAAAAAAATATTGGTACAACAATATGCTCTACAAGATCATACTCTGTGCTCATCTAATTGTACAACACCAAATTAAAATCCTAATATACCCTCATTCTTCTTACTAATAGCAAACTTAGAATGTTAAATTTAACAGATTCTGTCAATTAAAGAGGCGGTGGCAAATTCATAGTTTACGTGAAATTAAATGGCAGTCAGGATTTTGGTCCTAGATTTATGGTGACATGGACAATTTTGGTCCTTTATAAAAAAATCAGACAATTTATAGACACTCTTATTGTGACGAAGACAATTTTGGTCCTCCGTCACTCCTCCCGTGGCAACAGACATAATAATCTTCTCCCTTTATCAATCCTTTGCCCACATGATGAATTAACTGGCCATCAATGTTAAATTCCTAGCTTTTATCATCCATGTTAGATTTATTCAACTTTAGGAACTGAGGAAATCCCAGGAGTATAACTGGATTGCTATTTCACTTTTTGTAGTACTCTGGGGCAGGGGCTTCAAACAAGTACTTATCCTCTAGAGGTTCTCTTTTCAATAGCATTAGCCATTCTTGGGCTCCTTCTGTTTTCTCTTCTCATTGGAAACATGCAGGTACGTCATGAGAATTTTGTAGGGGTTGCTTTACTTTGGTTTATAAATTACTCGGTTCAGTTGTGGAATTCCAAATTTAGCTCAATTTGGAAAACACTGTAAAAATACAAACTATTAGCCTTTATCTAAAGAATTTTTATATTGGAGAAATATAAAGACAATATAACTAATAAAATTATTTTTTCTTAATTAATTTATTGATAATGAATAATTTTTTTTTTTAATAAAGACATTGTAGATAATGTAGCGAATATAATCAATTGATGAATTTGAATGTAAATAATTTTTATTTTGGAGAAAAATAAATACAATATAACTAATGAAAATATTTCTTTTATTTAATTTATTGATAATGTATAATTTTTTTGAATAAAGACATTGTAGACACATAATTCTAAATTAAAGAAATGTATATGTATTATTTTTTGTTGTAGCTACTAAATTATTATTTAATTTAATAAGAGTAAAATAGAGTACTAATTATGCCAACTTTGATTGGGATGTTGTTCGAACCTAAGACCTTTTTTATTGAAATCAATGAAAAGTTAACGGATAATCATATTCATTAAGGATAAATTATGAAATCTTAAGGAAAAATTAAAATCTGATCAATCTGAGCTATTCATTTGGTTTAAAAAATTTTACCGCCATTTTTTCTACCCATTACAGGCCTAACTCTCTTGGGCTCTTATTAGTACAGTAGATATAAACACTAAGACCATTTCTTTATCTTTTATTAATTTCACATTTTTCTCTCTCATTATTATTATATGAATACTTTAACTAATTAAGGAACACTATATATATTTCATGCAAACTAAATCATTTTAAATACTAGGTCTAAAAATCAAGAAATTTTTTTAATATTGTGTTATTTTGATAAGGATGTAGTCCCAAAAAATGGAACTTATAAAAATACACAAAATTATATCGTGTACAAGGCCTTCGGTTAACAAAGGCAACAATATTATGTACGGAGTACTTCAATAAGAGTGTTGAACATATAGGCTTTGTCTGACAAACGTAGCTGAAAAGCTATAAGTCAGCTATATAAGTTTGGAGCCTGAGAGCTGTTATGATTGAAATTGTTTGGCAAAATTAGTTTTTTGATAAGTTGATAAATGTAAAAAGACTAAAAAAGACATCTTCATAAAATTTAAATTAGTTTGTTTACATATTAAAATTTAACATTTTGTCTTTAAAAAAAATTAACATTTTGAAATAAAACTATTATCATAATCATGATCTAGCATCTCATAATGAAATAGCAATATTGTTGCAAATATAATAATAATAATAATAATAATAATAATAATAATAATAATAATAATAATAATAATAATAATAATAATAATAATAATAATAATAATAATAATAATAATAATATTTGCGGTGAAAGTTGCGGATAAAGGAGAAGAGAAGTGTTTTAATTGGAAAAGGTAAATTATGTCATTTCTTTAAAATAATAAGGATAAAGATGGAAAAAAAATTAGGAAGCTAGAAGCTTATTTTGAGAACATTACCAAACAGAGCTTATAGCTTATTAGTAGCTTAAAATAAGCTATAAGCTCCTAAATAAGCTCTGCCAAACAGAGTCATATAGTAGTATAGAAAACTGAAGTGTTTAAAAGTGTTGGACATAGTAGTATAGAAAATTGAAGTAAATAGCTTAATAATATTTAAGATTCTAATGTAGTTTTTTTTTTTTTTTTTTTTTTCACATTTTATATTATATGAAAAAATTAAAATTAAATAATATCAAATTTGGAGGTTTTTTTTTTTTTTTTTTTTTTTTTTTTTTTTTTTTTTTTTTTTTTTTTTTTTTTTTTAAATCTCCTTGATAAAATGAAACGATGTTGTTTAGATACCTCACTATGTGACGTTTGGTTTGTGGAATATATTAAATTGAAATGTCATTCCGTGAAATAGATTTATTCTAGATTTTTACCGCATAGAATGTGCTATTCCTCTTTGTCATTGTAATAGCTATTCCCAAGCCCATTTGTATTAGGTGTTCCTAATCCATCAAGAATAGGTATTTTTTTATTAAACAAAAATACCTCTACAAACCTTTATAAATAATCTCTTTCAAACTCCTACCATTATTGACTTGGCTCTCTTTCTCCAAGAAGCAAAAGCTCTCTCTTACTTCACTAATTAAAAACTCTTGTGTCCTAACCAATCCGGTGCTGGAGTAACACAAATGGCGGAGGTGTCACCACTTTGGCTGCGACATACTCTCTACGTGGGGGCTCTTCACCCGGAAACCACCGCAGCTGACCTCGAGGCTGGATTTTCTGTGATTGGCCCATTGGATTCCTTCGGGATTCGCAAAGACGTCGTGTCTGGGAAATCTCTTTGTTATGCTTTCGTCAACTTCACCTGTATCTCTCACGGTAACAAACTAAACCATCCTACTTAATTTTCTACGTCTATTTGCGTTTAATCTCTTTGCTATGCTTTCTTGGGTGACAAGTACGTTAGAGTGGGTCTCAATGAAGGGCTGTGTTTCTTCAGTTTTGTCCCCAAAAGCTTAGCTGCTAACGGTAGAGTGAAGGAGTGTATTTCGAAATAATGAAAAGGTGGCTCTATTTCTAATGTTTTTCATCATTAGGAGTGTGAACAAAGAAAATTGAATATATATTTAGAAATTCAAAATTCTTGATTACATATCAAATATCAATGCGGTGTGAGTACAAGTCTTTGGGATGTCCTCTGATTCTTCAATTTGAATGCCTTGAACACTCCATCATTGAAGGGCCTCCGGGTTTCAAGTGGCTTGATCTTCAAATAAGGGCTTGTATAGCTTGTTCTTCTTGAAGAGCCTCCGGGTTCAAATGACTTGATCTTCAATGGAGGTTAGGATCAATAGGCATAGGCATGATCATTTTGGTGGAGGAACTTCTACTTTCAGTATCACATTTTTATTGTGATCCTGAATAATATTTTTCTAGATGTTTACATCACTTTTCCTAGGATGTGTTATTACATAGAAATGAAATGCCCTATTTATAGCTGTAGGATAGAGAGTTTTGATAAGCTCAAACTCTTTTGATATTATCTAATTAACAAATTAGATAATATCAATATTATCCAAAATATTTCAAATATACTAATATTGATAAATAATCAATATTTATCAAAATTTAAGTGTCTACAAATGCCCCCTCGAGACTTGCTTGTACACCACTTGAGAGCATATAACACTCGAAAGTATGCAGTGCAAGAAAGTCTCGACACTACAACTTAAAGATATAAGGCCGTTTCAACACGTGCCAAGGAGCCTTAAAAGATATGAGGCCGTTTAAACTCGTGCCAAGGAGTCTGAATATAAGGCCGTTTAAACTCGTGCCAAGGAGTATCATTTAGCTTCCTCCGTTTCAAATTTCATATGGGGTTTGCCCCCATATCGATTGAAAGTGCCTATGAAGAGATGAGAGGCAGAGCCGTCCCACTGGGCGTGCCAATTTGTGAACAAAGAAAATTGAATATGGTATTTAGAAATTCAAAATTCTTGATTACATATCAAATATCAATGCGGTGTGAGTACAAGTCTTTGGGATGTCCTCTGATTCTTCAATTTGAATGCCTTGAACACTCCACCATTGAAGGGCCTCCGGGTTTCAAGTGGTTTGATCTTCAAAGAAGGGCTTGTATAGCTTGTTCTTCTTGAAGGGCCTCCGGGTTCAAATGGCTTGATCTTCAATGGAGGTTAGGATCAATAGGCATAGGCATGATCATTTTGGTGGAGGAACTTCTACTTTCAGTATCACATTTTTATTGTGATCCTGAATAATATTTTTCTAGATGTTTACATCACTTTTCCTAGGATGTGTGATTACATAGAAATGAAATGCCCTATTTATAGCTGTAGGATAGAGAGTTTTGATAAGCTCAAACTCTTTTGATATTATCTAATTAACAAATTAGATAATATCAATATTATCCAAAATATTTCAAATATACTAATATTGATAAATAATCAATATTTATCAAAATTTAAGTCTCTACAAGGCGATTAGGAGATATTAGCATAAATGCCATGCTGATAAGATATTCACTCTCAGAGAAAATATAGGAAGATTATATATGAACTGGAAGGTTCTGGGACAATTTTTAATACAAAATGAAAATAAACTTTTCTTTAATAAAAATATTTCTCAAAAATGTGATAAACTATCATTTTATAGGCCCTTGGCACAAACAAAAAAAAAAATGAAGTTCTTACCCGAAGTTAACATATATTTTCATACCTTGATTGAATGATTATAATCCGCAAATAATTATTTATGTTTTTTTTTATCAGCTTCAAAGGCTCTGGCATGCCTAAACCATAGAACCCTGAGAGGAAAGCCAATAAGGATTATGTGGTGGCAAAGGGAATCAGAGTTAAGAAAATCTGGGATTGGGAATGTTTTTGTCAAGAACCTTGCTCCTTCGGTCACCAATGCTCAATTAGAGAGCGTGTTTAGCAAATATGGCATAATACTGTCCTGCAAAGTCGTCGAGGAGAAAAATGGAAAGAGCAAATGTTTTGGATATGTTCAGTTTGAAACACATAATTCAGCCATTTCTGCTTTCAATTCCCTCCATGGAGCAGTGTTTGAAGGGAAGAAGTTGTAAGTTGCCTACTCCCTTTTTACTACCTGACAATTATTGACACAACCCCCATTAACACTAACACGAAAATAACTAGTTAACGGGTTAACCCATTAAGAACCCGTTAGGTTTCGTGTTTTAAAGGTCAACCCGTGCATTCCCATCAAACCTTTCTTTATATGTTTTTGAATTTGGAATTTAGAACCTGCATGCCCTCTCTTCTTGTAGATTTTGGGTTCAGATTATTGTTTCATTCGAACAGTCTAGCTAATCGGTTAAAATTGTTTGATGTTTTTCAGACATGTGTCCCCATTTAAGAAGAAAGAAGAGAGGATGATGGATGCATTTAATAAAGAGCAAAAGTTCACTAATCTATATGTGAAAAACTTCGGTTACAATATGACAGAGGACTTCCTAAGAGAGAAGTTCTCCCGATATGGGAAGATCAATTCTGCTGTCATTATAAGGGATGAAGAAGGAAATTCGAGAGGCTTTGGCTTTGTCAATTTTGATTCGGATGAAGATGCTAGGAAGGCAATTGAGGCTCTTAATGGTGAATTAATAGGTACGTGCAGTGCATGCTTTGATGCTTATTATATATGTATGTATTTCTCACGTACGGTTCGAATTTGATTGTCATCAATCTCAGGATCAAAGGAGCTGTTTGTTGGAAGGGCACAGAAGAAGGCTGAAAGGGAAAGACTCTTAGGGATGTGCTGTGTGCATAATATATAAACATAAATATACAGTTCAATCTAGTAAGTGATCAATATTTGAATAGTGAGTGATGATTTGTAAATCTAGAATATATTGCTTTATATATTTGCAGGTTTGTGAATTCTGTATTAGTTTACCAGCTGCTGGTTCTTCAAATGAATACAAAGTATTTGCTTGAGATTTGGCATATGCTTAAAACAATGGAGAAGTTACAGTTCCAATCTTTGTGTATTATGCATGAGATATACTTTTTTTTTAGAGAGAAAAATACACGAGATAAACATATTTTGTGAATGGCCTGGTGCAGTTGTTTTTGTTGTGTTCGGCTTATGAGTCTTGATATTGGAAAGAAATTTTAATGTTAAAATGTCAAGAATTTTTTTAATATTGTGCTATTTTAATAAGGTTATAGTTCGAAAAAATAGAACTTATAAAATAGGCAAATTATATCACGGACCAATCACCAGGACTATGTGGTCCAATGGTATCCGGGTTGGACTTCCATTTGGAAGGTTGTGAGTTCGAGCCTCAGTGGAGGCGTTATTAGCTCTTTGTGTTTCAGTAGGTTGAGAAAGTATATGAACAGATACTACAATGTAATAGAGCTAGTAGCATTCAAAAAAATATCACGGACCAATCAATAAGATCCTTGATTAATGATTGAAAAACAGAATTTTGGTTAACAATATTATGTATTCTTGATTAATGATTGAAAAACAGAATTTTGGTCAGAGTACTATACAAACGGAATACAGAATTTTGGTTAACAATATTATGTATTCTTGATTAATGATTGAAAAACAGAATTTTGGTCAGAGTACTATACAAACGGAAATAAACGGACCTAATATTCAAATTTTAAGTGAAAAACTTTGATACAAAGACAAATATAATTACAAATTACATCCTATAAAGACAAAGGTTCAACTAGACCGAATTCCATAATTATAAAATATGTTACACTGTATTCTAAATCAAACCATACTCTATTACACTCCCCCCTCGAAAACAATAATGGAACTTGAACTGGGTAAAACTTATTAGGACTCTATGTATTTGAGTCACATAATAATATAGAAATCGAGGATTATATTGAGGAACCGATCGAACAAACCATATTTTTCTTACATAACATTTTTCCTATTCTAGCAAATCTCAATAGCTGTGGTGTTTCAAAACTAGGTTAAAAAATTATAAATAAAACATTTTATCTTAAATCAAAGTAATCATATTTTTTTTTCCATAATTTATGTAAATTTGTAATTTTTAAATTAATTAAAACGGTAGAAGTTCAAATGTGAGAATTATTTATTTTAAGTTTTGGCTTCTAATTAATTTATTGTTTTTTTTTTTGTAATATTATCTAGAAATTATATGATTGTATGAATGAAGGATTTAAATGTTGAAGAAGATTATAACCTAAGTTTTTATTGATGAATGAAATAGACAATAGAATAGATCAGACGTACTATGAGTGATAAATTATACTATAGTAAATCAAGTAATTATTCACATTAAAGTAAACTAAACTCCATAATTATACAATATGCTATTCTAAATCAATTCATATGTACGTAATCTATTTTACTCCTTCCGCTGGACAAAATAAAGGAACTTAGTCATCCAGTATGTATGTATGTAAGTCTGGGTGTGAGTTAATTCTCTTTGATGTAAAGTTATATAAAAGATAAATAAAACCTACATTTCAATCCATCAAATAAACTAAAAAAATATTTAATTCATAATATTCATATACAAATCATAATTAAATAAGTTCATAACTATAACAGTAAAAATAATAACTTAACTTTCTAAGCCTTTGGTTTTATATATAGCTTTTAACTTTCCTTTTATATTAAGTTATAAAAAGGTTTGTGTAAACGGGTTAACACAAAAAAAAAAAATAATAATAATAATATTAGATTTATGGGCTTCCCATGTTAAAGACGGGAAACATAACGGGTCAAACCCGTTAACAACAAACTGGATGTGATAGATCATACTATAGTAGATCAAGTAATTATACACATTCAAGTAAACTAAACTCCATTGAATAAAGAAAGATACAGAATTGAAGAGCTACATACATCCTTCCATTATCCTGTATGTATTTTTTTTTTTTTTTTCAACAAAGGGAATGCATAAATCAAAACTTCAAGTCTCACAAAGATGGCCCAAAAGTGACCACCCCCAACAAAGATGCTTCCAAGGTCTACTTTATTCAAACTAACCAGATATATGCCTCTAATGTCAAGGCCAAACAAGGCTCAAACCAATCAAGGATATGCTCTCCAAGTAATTCCTATCATTAACAATCAAACAACTCTCCAAAACCTCCACAAACCAATAGTCAAGATTGAGCTCCCCGTCCCACACAAAGGATGGGACCGATGCCCTTTCAAGTAGGATTCCAACTACCCTTTAAGCCACCCTTAAGCCAAGGCCCCATCCCCACCGGCACAGCGTACTGTGTTTTAGCCCGAGAGAACTTAAGGGACCCGACTTAAGCAATGGCACTCCCCTCCTTCCACCCTCACACCCAAAACTCACCCCCCACGGCATAACGTACTATGTTTTAATCCGGGGGAGCTTTAAGAGTCCCGATGTGAGCAATGGCTCCCTCCCCACCACCCTTAGGCCAAGGTTCAACCCCCCACGGCATAGCGTACTATGTTTTAATCCGGGAGGGCTTTAAGATCCCGACCTAAGCAATGGTCTCACCAACTCTCCAATCCCAGCCCCATTATTTAAACCTCTTTCCAGATTTTTGCTTTCATATATATTTCCCAAACTTCTTTCTCCAGTACATCTTTTTCATATTCTTTTCCTTTCTGAAATTATGCTGTGAACCTTAAATTAGCTGAACCTGAACTTCTACTTGATTTTTAAACTTATATTAGATTTTGATCGATTAATTTTTGTTATTTAAAGATAGTAAATAACAGAAAATAAAAGCAGTAAGTAAATCAAGTACACAAAGATTTGTTACGCAGTTCGAAGCGCTTCTCCTACGTCTGCGGGGCAACCCACGTCAGCCCAATCCACTATTGATGTTCACCAAGGAGTTTTACAATAGAACGGTGCATTAAACTCTCACAGTCTTAACTACCATACTACAAACAACCTTCCTAACATCCAACCTGGACCGTGACGTGCATGCCTTGATAACCTTCGAACAATACTTCAACTGAGTCAGGCGCAGACAGTAGCTCAGCAGAATAATAATATAATTAATTCTCAATTCGTTAGCTGTGTTCACTTCTCAGAATAGTAACTCTCAAAAATGGCAAGTTTCCACAACTAGCAACCTTCCTATTTATAGCAATATCCCTTCCATCAGACTTGCCTCATTTCATGCTTGATTCATTCCCTGCCATTCATTTCATTTAGATTCCCATAATATGCTTGAACCATACATTCATAGCTGACTTCCTCTTCATAGACATTAATTGTGAACCACCCAAAAAAGTCTCTTATGAAGAATAACAATGGTCCAAGAGTTTTTGTTTAAACCTAAGACTATGACTTATAAAAATAAATTAGCCAATCATAGGTTTAATGTGTACAAAATATGTACACTTACAATCTCCCCCTTTGACAATTTATTTGGCAAAAACTATAGCATCTTATACTTTGGGCAAACAAGAAAGATACAATAATTTTATTTAAAAGTCCTTAGTATATGTGCCACACAATAACCTAAGGTAAGAAAAAAATTATTACCAAAAAACTCTTGTAGACCATGTTCCATGAACTCATAGTATTAATTTTCAGAGAATATGTGTGCTATATATGAACCCCGAAAACTTCAATATTCAGATAGAATAGTTGATCACCAATAGAAAGATTAAATAAAAGATGATCATCCAATAACAATAGATTTACTGTGTAGATAATGATAACCAATAACTGATAATAATAGCCATAATCTGAAGAGATATATAAGTCAGAGATTACCAAAAGAAGTGTAGCATAATAGAGTAGTAGACAAGCCATACTAAAAAAAATTCCTTATGTCGCAGTCATCATGCTTTCCTACTACTCCCCCTTTATTGTATCTTCCCTTATTTCATATTCCAAAATAGTTAACCAAGTAAAACTCCCATTTCTCATAAAACTCCCCCTTTCTTCAAAAGCTCCTTTCTATTACTCCCCTTTTTTGCCAAATAAGTGACAAAAAGGATCGGTGAACATCAAATCAGTGGATTAGACTAGTGAGTTGACGGGGTGCCCGACCTTCTTTCCCGTAAAATAGCAAGAAGCTTATCCAACATTCATCCATATTGATCAATAGTAATTACCATATACCAAGAAGGTAGTGTTGTCATATTCATTCCATGTTCGCA